ATAATAGAAACGGCGCCGCTGCATCGCTCGAACTAATTCGAGAGCTCGTCTATCGTATGATATCCACCGTTCCTCTATCGTTCTCATGGAATTTTAATGAACCAGGAATGATGATTGCTTAAGCAATACAGAGGGACGGTAAGTGTCCTCCGTGACCCATATAATTAACTACGACTCACAATGAATTTTACATTAGGGACATTATGGATCTGATGTTTCTACATTGATCCACTTTCTACAGTGTCACGTGATGGAATTTATTAATTTTTTGATATATAAACAAATAGAATATATTTAAAATATACATATTTTGATAATAGTACCATATAATATATTGTTACTACTTTTTTAAGTTTCACACCTATATACCTTGATTATTTGGTAACAATGTTAGCTACTTTTAACTAATAATTAGAAAATGGGTACTTTAAAAAAATCAATCTCACCCAAAATATACCGATTTGTTTAAAAATCATCTAATACTTATGCGCTGCCTATTGTATACACCAAAGCATCCGGGAATAACGATAATCGCTGCTCTCGTTACCGAGAACACGGAGGATTACCCACAATGTATCAGAATTGACCCAGTACTGGTCAAACGAGAGTTAATCAATCGCGATGGAACCGTGCCGTGATTGCCACCGTTGTATTATTCATGAAAATGAAAAGAAAATCGGGCGATCGGGGAGCGTCGAGCGGCGATGATTCGTGCTCCGGTTAATTGGCCAGTCACGTTTACTGAATCAACGTCGCCGTTTAATAGTTCGGCGCCGTATAATGCTTCCCTTTTTTTCTCTTCGCCGGGCAGACGTGACGTTATCGCGGCGATAAAGTTTAATCGTAAACGGCGACGAACGTGGCAATCGTTAAACGAAGCCGTTCGAGGGAAAGAAACGTGCGAAATGACATGCAAAGTGGACTGGGAGAGACCTTCGTAGGAAACGAGCGGTGTCGTCGTTCCTCCTGTTTCTTTTCTCTGTTTTTCTTTTATTTCTCTTTCTTTCCGCGGCGCGGATGAACGTCACACGAGAGGTGGCGGGGCCATCCGATTATGCGAGGAAATAATCATCGGTCCCGGGATATGTGGGCCACGGTTAAAAATACTCGGCATTGCAGAAATGGGATATCCGTCGAGAATAAACCGCGTCCCGACCAGAATAGACTTTTCAGATTTTTGATGCGTCGCGCCGCGTATCCGATCAGCCGTGGAATTGCGAGCTACAGGTCGCCGCCATTGCCGCGCTCAAAGGGAACCCTTTGGTGCACGCCGAGGACGAGGACGGCATTGAAAAACGTCGGCGACCATTCGTTTATACCATTCGAGAGTAACGTTAATTTACTGCACGTGATTTTATTAAACATTCTGGATTAATAAATGGCGCGCATTAAAAAATCGTTTCTCTCCGAGGAGCGAGTATTTTCCAACGAGCAACCTAAATTGCATCGGACTCAGTCGTAAACATATTTCGCGATGAGGATTGAAGTTAATTACTGTGCAGTAATTAAACGACAAGAATAATGTGCAGAGGTGAATAACAGTAGGTGACTTTAATTGTAACGTAGACCGAATTAAAATCGAATTAAGAATGGATAACGGAAGCGCGTATCGATTCGTAAGAATGTTTTTGGAGATTTCATTTGATTTGTTGCCGCGCCACGTATCATCGGTGAGTTAACGTTATTGTGTTTGTTGTGCAGGTCGCGTCTTACGTTTGTTAATTAAATAAACTTCATTCTGTTACTGTCGCGTGTTGGAAGTTTCGTACTCGTTTCTGGAGACTACTGCTAACTTGGCAGTCAGTTTAGAGTTGATAGAAGTTTGAAACAGTTGGATGTTTGTAGAAAAGTAAAACCCTGGAGAAATTGTGAGCCTTTAATAGTGAATTTAAAGAGACGGATGCAGCTTTTAAAGATAAGATTAAATGTATTGAATGGGAAACTACATTGCTGTGACAAAGTCAAGAATATCCGTACAAATTAGGTGTCATGATAAATGTTCATTCGCAACTACGTTTCTATTACCGACCATTACTTCTTTCGTGCCATTAGAAACCACAAACAAACATTTAAGATTCAAGTATTCTAGTTTTTAGTTCATTTATTACTGACTGGTCGTTACACTTAATAACACGTAATTAATATAAAAGTTTCAGGGTATATTTCTTGTTAGACGATTAGACAGATACTAATACGATCGGGTTAGGTTAGAAATAATTATCTTCTGAATAGTTTATAGGGCTATAAAGTCACATATTTATCAACTAGAAAGATTCAATTACCAATTAAACAGATAGAAAACTATTTCTCAACCATCCACCTACAAACTGCAATCGGTAAAAATAGGTCAACGAAGAAAAATCGAATAAAACGTTTATTATAAATTTCCTGTAAAAATTCATTTTATTCTCATATTTCTGTAAACATCCCACAAAACTACGAAAACTTAACAAAACACAAAACTCAATAAACTCGACTAGCCTCGCATACATTTACTTCGCCAAAAGAATCACACTAAAAAATCAAACTTCCCTCGATTCCATTTCCCTGAAACCGTCCATAAAAATGGGAATCTCCATAAACATCCGACTATCGCGGAATGTCCGCGATGGCAGCGATATCATCCGACTTAACATCAGAATTCGATGACGGTACGAAGGTGCATCCGAAGCGAAACGGTCCGTCGATCTTTTTACAGCCTATTGTGGCGCCTATTATTTTCCCGGGCGGTTAAAAATACTTGCAAATTCCCGGAACGAAATTATTGAATAGCTCGTTGGGTAGGAGAGGTAACAACTTATGTGACGGCGTGGAAACGTGCCTCGAATGCAGCCCCGTGGCGAGCCTTGTCCTCAAGGACACGCAGGGACAACTCGTAGGAGTCGGGAACGTACACACGTTTCGTGCACGATTATCGCCGATCCACCGCTTCCACTCCCCGTGCGTATCTGCATTTCCGTTCCGGCGTGTTACCGCGGTACGTGACGATTCCCGTGCGTGAGTTATTTCCGCGCGAGCTCGCACGGTTCAACGAGCCGTGTCGCCCCACGTTGGCCGGCCGACGTCACTTCCGTCTAGGCAGGTTGAACAAACCCCGATGTTTTATGCGTGACAATGGCTTAGAAAATGGACTCGTAAAACGAACAGTGTTTCGCGCGTGTTTTATGAGCTTCCACTATTTATTCTGCGCGGTCTTAAAACCGTTCGTCGGTTTATCCGTTTTTTCCTTATTGCCTTATTGCACGCGCACGCGCGGCAGCCGTTTTTTCCGTTCGGTGATTTAAGATCGATAAACACGGAAATAGAAAAACCTCTCCCACTTTCCGTTGCGTCCAGCGCGGAACTCGTTCGACGTTTTGAACATTGCGTGCGCGCGTAGCCGAAATAAATGAAATCGATATCCCGTTCCACCGCAG